CACCATTTCATCTATTTGTTATAGATAGTTCTGTAATTTTGTGGTTGCTTATTGATATGTAAAAATGTTGGCAGACTTTAAAAATAAAATAAATTATATCTTGATTATTAATCTTAAATTATTTTTTTTTATTAAAAACACATTTTATAGATAAATTAATAGGTTTCCATTCCTCTATGAATTTGAAATGTTGAATTCATATTATGTAGATTCTTAACATAAATAAGGTCCACCTAGTTGAGGCATGTAATGTAAATTAAAATTGAAAAATTATATTTCTGTTAAAACTTTACATAATTATAAATAATCAGTGTAAATAGGAGCATTGTAAAAATCATTATTAGATTGTAGGGGCTTTTGGCTATAAGTAAACTTATCTATGATTATAAAAACATGAATTTTTGAATATTTTGTATTGAAAAAAGTAAACTATTGTAGTATTTTTACAGGAAAACTTAAAAGTGTGTATTTACAAGTATGTGTGGAATTCCAATAAAAATGGCACTGAAAAAGTCCTTGTTTACAAATTAATTAATTTATTTGCATTTGCAATACTATATCTTAAAAGAAAATGATTAAAAAACCCACTTCAAGCAATTAGTGCTTGAGGTGGGATTTAAACCCATAAACACTCACAGTCTGGGCGTCTGCTAAAACCAATTTAACTACCAGATAACCAGCAGGTTTTGTGAATTTAAGAATTACTTGCATTACTAGTGAGCATATGCTCATTTATGTTTAGAAAGTTCACCAAAACTATATTAATAATACCATTATAGAGAATAGATTAGAAAATTCTTTATTGTTAACATTACACAAGTTATATAGGTATACAAATTTAAAACAGTTTTAACAAAATAATGTAACAATTGGCGGCCTTATCGCTTAAAGTGATTTCTTCCAGGCAATCACGGGATGGAGAGAGAGATAACAATTTATGAAGACAGGGGTGTAAATTTTATCAATAACATTAAAAAGAAAATATGATCAAATAATAATCTTAATTAAAAAATTATAATTATGAATATTTTTTTTCTGACATAAGTATTACTCACTTTTTTATTTGGAAATTATAATATTATAAAGGATTATTACATCATATCATCATCATGTTTAAAGGATTGTTAAACAGGTAAATATACTGTTTATAAAATTTTATTCTGAATTATTTTTAATTTAAAAAAATTACATAAAATTGAGCTTAGCCGCAGCTCAGTTTTATGTAACATTTGAAATAACATGAGGCTTTCTGTAACCATATATTAAGTTGCGTGCAAGATAAATGTTCAGCCTAATTAGTATTACCTACATGAAAAATACATATTCTACTGTTTTTGACACAAAGTTAAAACCAACCACCAATTTTAACCCAAAGAAAACTGTCATACACTATGATGGGTTACAATTTAGAACAAAAAAAATAAGCCTGTGAATCAGGAGCTCTTGTTCAATTTTGCAGGAATTTATATGTGTAAGTTCTTTTATATCAGTTGAAACTTATACTTAATTTGCTCATAGTCAGCATGGATGACAGCTGCGAGCAGATCTATGCAACTACAAGAATTTAATTTGTATACAACTTAATGTGAAAGATATGTCAAATCATTAATAATTTTCTCTGATCTTACTTATAATATCTAGTCAATAATGACATTTCTAATGTGTTTCTATAACAAACATTGTTTTAAATTTAATCTTGTATAGATTTTCCACAGTATATATTATGTTGCCTTGCTTGATTCGGTGTACAGATGTAGGTATAGCCAGATTTCGAAAGATATTGGATTCATTTCATCATCAATAATTCTCTCTTAAATGTCTACTTTGAGTCGACTATCGTTTATCTTCTTCACTATGTTATTGATACGTATGAATATTTATTTTCAATCGAAAACTTCTTCTTTTATTAAGGGCTTTCGCATAATTCTGCCAATTTCACGTGCGTAGCCAATACATGGTATGAATTATTTTATAAAATTAATTTTGTAAATAATATTTTTAAGTATAATGTTTCACTTTCTATTACAGTTTAATATTACAAAAAAATACACATATGCGGATTGTTTTAGTAGATATCCCATATTAAATTGTCATTTACAATTCAATTTTGTCAATTTCATTCTTCTTTTATTAATGGTATATCTGCGCATTTCACACAATTCTGCCAAAGTCAAGTGAATAAATTAATTTCTACATGTAAAATGAAAAAGTAATGAATGAAAGATTAATTAAAACATTGTCTGTATCATTGTGGTTTGTATTGACAAAAAGTGAATTGGTGTTGCAATATGAAAATCAAACATCGATTGGAAAATAATCGATTAATTCACTATATGTAATAGAACTGCAGTAACATTTATTGAATAAAAAAAACTTTAATATACTTTTAGTTAATTTTGGTGCAATTTTGCATTTTTCCTAAGTTTTACGGACTACTACGGTTGTTGATTCAACAATGCCCAAATAAATAAATATATATATATATATTATTATTATTATGTAATTTCCAATGCCCGTAATTGGAAATGTTATATGAAAACCTAATGAAGTCCCATAAAGTCACAATATGAACTATCCATGTAGTTTGATGAAGTCCGATGATATTCAATGAGGTTTAATGAATTCTGTTTAAATGGATTGAAGTTACTAAAGTCATATGCAATCATCATTTAACTTTAACATTTAATTTTTAGTACAAACAAATATATAAATTTAATGATTATTTTTGTTGTACATTCTTTTGAAACGGAGTTGTTTAAAGTAAAGTATACACCTCTAGATTAATGCTCGTCCTAGTCTTGGACTGATTGCATACCTCACTTATTACAGTTTGTTAGTGACCGAAAATGAGTCAAAACTTTTCTGTTCACGACCTACCTATGTAGGTACCGTTTTATTTTACGGAATCATATTATTCACTTTCATGCTACTTTATCTCACATAATAACATTTATTTTGCGAATTAAAACTCTGTATAAACAATAAAATAAACCAACACCATTTGAATTTTGAAACTTAACTCTTTAAGCTTGACGTTATCTTTAGTCAACGCCAGGATTTATAGTATTTCATCTGACTTTTTTGTTAATTAAAAGACTTAATTATATCGGATTTATGCTTTAAATATTAAGCATGTTTAAAGTTGAGTGCTTAATAAAAGTTAGAATTGGGTATATGACGATTTTCTGAAAACTAATTAATTAAAATAGTTGTTTGATACATTATAAACACACTGTCAATATATTACATGAGAATCTGTTCTATTTCCGATGAATATAATTGTTTAAATCTACAGATTCTAAGAAATAAACTTTTATTAGATTATTATCTAACATGATGATAATAGTACGAAACTTATTTTTATAGTGTCAAATACCCATAATGATAAAAATATTAATTATAAATTCGCGTTTTGGGTATTTTCCCTTATAGCTTAACACTTAGGTATGCACTTTCTTAATGTAGCTAATATTCGGGTGTTTCATCCGTATTTTAAAACGTTCGAATAAGAATATAATAGATTCATTACGTACAGAAATGATAAAAAAATGTAGGAATGAATAATCATTAATCGTCTCCCGTTTAACTAATAATTTCATTTATTTTATTCTGGTAACACTAATGACAGCTGTTTGGTTCGGCTGCGATTTGGCTCCGATTACGTTTCAGTTTAGTAAACGTTCGTTTGATAATTTACGTTAGCGGAATGCAAATTTACAGCAAAAATCGAAACGTAACCGTTACAGAAACGCTATTGATGATCGATCGTTGTAAATTAGTAGAATTGGCCCCCAGGTCTATAACTAACGTCTGTTGATATACCCACAGTTTTGTTTATTACGTAATAAATATTAATGTAAACATAAATTTCAAAAATAACTTAAGTGTTCTTTGAACTTTACTAAACCAAAGGAAAAAAAAATACATTCCATATTATCCAATCATAATCCATGTTAGTTTTAAAGCTATATATTTATTTATAATAAAAGCTGATGAATTTCATTTTATCATATTTCATAAATCACTATTTTTTACGCTATTTGAAACGCGTTCTTATTAACAATCCGTGCATCTACGGTATATAGTCAAACCGGTACGTACTAATAAAACCGGTTCATAATCTTAAAATTGCTAAAACCGGTTCATACTCTTACAAAAGAAACTGGCGATTCTACCGCGGTACTGGCCGTACATTGCGTTAGCCTTTAAAACGTCAATATGAAGTCCTGATTGATCTGTCAGTACCTGGCTTACTTCATCGGCTTAGTATGTGTCTTATTAGTTGCAGTATTAAAGTCAAAATAAAATTTATATATAAACTTACATTACCATATCAATACTAACAAATATAAATTTATGATGTGCAACAAACAATTGAGTTTATTACGCTTATGGCTTTCTGCAAATGATTTCATCCACATTGTCCCTATATAGAGTACTGTTTAGCGGGATAAAATTATACCTAAATCAAATTTCATCAAAATCCGTACAGTAGTTTTTGCGTGTAGAAGCTACAAACATCCAAACTTACAAATTTTCGTCTTCATAATATATAGTACGATTAATTACTCCTGTGCAAATGATTTAAATATTTTAATTAATAATTTGGATATCGATTCATATAACACAGATACACAAAACAATGGTTATTAGAATTCTCTATACAAACTTTATCCGCGTGGATAGCAGCTTAAGTTACTCCTTATTATGTAAGCTATCTGCCGCTGAAAGTCCCGTCAAAACCGGTCCAACCGGTGCGGGAATTAGCCGGAATAGACAGGCAGAAAAGAAAATGTTATTTTGGCATATGTGTCGTGTATACATGCATAGCATTTAGTAAAAAACGGTCGTTTTAATATTACAAACAGACACTCACAATTTTTTTCCAATTTGTATAGATTCCACTTTCCATTACAATATTAAAAATCTGATCGATCTTTCAAATACTGACAGATCAATCAGCATTTCTGACGTTTAAGAGCTTCTGCAATTTGTAATTGTCATCTTGATTTTTTAACTTTAATGGTGGCATCACCTCTTAACGACCTCTTAGGAGGCCTAAACACTATGTTCGATTTTTTAACAACATTTTCAACTTTATATTCATTAGGAAAACCGATAATTTGCTTCGGTGAAAAATAACTCACAAAATTCACCAACTCACTTCTACTACAGTGAGTTGGAAAACATATATTGATTCTATTCTCCGATGTCCTGACATGAGTGAAGTTTTCCAAATCGAAATTTTCCCATAACATCGCTGATAAGTGTACGTATAAAAAACACTTATTGCTGGTGTCGTAAGGCAGACATTTGTGTGGGTATCTCTCATTGCGGTTGGTGCATTTGTGTATCCTAGTACTTTTAGCATCATTGGTCACTCCGGGTACTTGATTTTGGAATAACCTGTAACAAAAAAAGAAGGTTCTCAGTTTGAAAAATAGGTCAATTTTCAACCCTACTACTTTACCATTGTACTATCTAGATTAAGTACAATATTAGTAGTGCAATGTCTTCCTTTTCAAGCAATAATGTAATAATTCAATTTTAAAATTCTAGTGCCTAAAAATATTACTTACTGACACCAAGGATGAATGAAATGATAATTTGAGGAATTTCCTACTTGAAATTATGAAATTATTGTTATTTGATTCAAGTAATTTTATTGGTGAAATTTTCAGCCCGCTACATTTGAAGGCCGGTTACAGGAAATAAAAGCCCCATCATCTATTACTTTTTGTACTTTTCAGAAAGCTTAAGAGTCTAGTGAAGTTTTTAAAATAGAAGCTATGAAACATACATATATAAACCTTAACCATTTAATTTGAAGTTTAAAATTTAAGTCTAGCTCGCTGAAATGTAATTTATTCACTTTTTATGAAAATTATCTCAACATGCAGCAATGCTAGGAGATTAACTGTTATGCATGAGAAAGAGTAGTTTATGAAGATTCTTTTTAGAGAAAAGAATCACTAAGAAGCCATTAGGTAATTATTTTTTAAGTAAATACTATCGAAATATCCTATGAAATCATAAAAAAAAAATCATATCTCGAAAACTACAAGACATCGTGGAACATACATGGGGTGTTTTTGGGGTAGCCCTATGTGGGAGCAACAAAAAAAAATTTTTTTGACGTCACTGTCTGGAACACCTGTATAATAATATTATACTTCAGCTAGATAGTAAACTGAGATTCCATTATGATCTAAACATTAGAAGAATTGAATTGCTGTATCTTTATCCGCGATTATTTTAAGTTTGGCTGAACCGATTTAGATGCTGTTTTCAAGAAAGGTTTTGGTATTTTAACCAACTTCATTGTTGTGATTGTATGTATGTTTTAGTGGTTATACAATAAAACACCTTCTTAGCTTTCTTAACGGAGAGCTCAAGGTTATTTTGACATAAATGTCAACAAAAACTTAATAGAACCGATTTCAAATTTCAAAAAAGTTACCTTTTTAAATATGTTAAACCATTGGTCCTGGCTGCATCTGCAGTTGTTGATACCCACCAATCTGCACTAGGTTGTAGCCTATTCTCCCTATTCAACTAGATTCGATTCTATCCATTAGGAAGCCCAGCAGTTAATAGGCCGGTGACGATAATCATTATTTATTCACCTTTTTGCTAACATTAATGACGCATATACATCTAACTGATGTCAAATATACATTTAATTTTAAAATTGAACACAATCCTTTTCAATTTGACATAAACAAAGATATTCACGAAATTCATGCTACAACTATTAAAAATACGAGAGCAATTGCGATCGCGACGTTTTTTTTTTGAAACTGCCAGTTAAGCAAATAAGTTATTATTTGTCAATGGTTGGATGACTTCATAACTTTAACTGTAAACTATAACTGCCTAAGTTTCGCTTGTTACAGTTATCGTTTTACTACGCCAAAAAAGAGGATGGCGCAATGCATTCCCTTCAAGTCAATGTGACAAATGTGACATAAATCTTAGCTTAAACTGAAAATATGATGCAACTGAGACTTAAGCAAGCATGAAATACAAATGTTAGATTAAGTTTATATCACAAAATTATGTCTCTTGATCACTCAATTCATCGTTCATTTTGAGAGCAATAGCGACTTTAATCCTTACATCATTCCATAAATCACAATCACAATAGCCATACCTTTGAAAGGAATTGCGTTAGATTTGAAATAAGACAGGTTACAGGCTGAACCATAATAGCTACACATTATTTAAAAGAGTACAAAGCCATACCTGTACAGATTCCAACCTTCACCGATGTAAACTCTATATCCCAACTGCTTAAAAATCTCATTAAAAACAAATTCATAACCATATTTCGCTGAAGTATGTAATGCAACTAAATTATCTACACTGCTATTCAACCAATTCTTGATTTCTAATAAAGCACATTGTACACTATCGCTTCTTCTAGGGAAATTATCATACTTCCAATTCAGAAATGTAGTGTCCACATACATTTTATCTATGAATATTGGATCACCATTCTTGTTGTGCAGTTGTCCCAGTTTGGAGACATCGTTAATACTGATACGGAAGTCACCAGTGAACAGTACGGTCTTGTGAGTTGTTCTAAATAGAAACATTATGGAACCGAAGCAGTGTCCAGCAGGTATGGTTGTAACTTGAACGTAACATTCTTTATGGTAGTCAGTTTCATTTAGTTTTATAGTTTCTGTACCTGGAATTTAAAGATAATAAAATAAAATTAAGTTGGGTCATCCAGCAATAACCATTTTAATGGTTTTTCTCACAACCTATAAATGTGAAGCTGGGTTTTCAACAGTAGTTTACCTTAAAAATTAATATAGAAACCATTATGTGGAACCTTAGGTTCTACTTTACCAATGGGAAACATATAATCTGTAAAGGGGTTTCTTTGGACACTTTGTTTTGTATTGATTTTAAGTAACTTTCGCAAAGGCCAGTCATAGGATGGGTGATCAAAATATTCTTATCTCTAGCTTCTCCGTGCTTCGGAGGGTACATTAAGCCATTGGTCGCAGCTGCATCCCATAAATCACTGGGTGGGGGCTCCATTTACCTATTTGATTCCATCCATGGCCTGTACACCATCAGTGTGGATATTAATAGGCGATGAAGCTACACTTACCCAAAGGTAAAGTAATAACATTGTCTTTTACGAATGCAAAATCAGCAGTCGTAGCAATAATCGCCGCCGACACTTCAGATGTATAAATATATACTTTGTTTTCGTCGAGATGTCTTTTTAACCTCGTATCCGAGAGGCCTTGCGTGTGATCACGGTGACAGTGGCTCAGAAAATATGCCCTTTTATCGAAACTTTCAAAATTATCCACTGCAATTCCTGGTACTTCAGATATGATACCATCAAAAGAACTAGTGCACATAGCGAAGGTTTACGTGAATATAGAAGTATTTTGGCGTAGTGAATAACGTCTAGTGTTTTATTTGGTTTCGATCAAATCTCGTTCCTTTTATATACAAAAGTATATTGATAATAATGTAAACTATACCGAAAAAATCGCGATGTAAACACCACAGGTGACTGTCATATCATGTGCACAGAACAATAATACTGTCATGTGTCAATGAGCACAGACCAATAAGAGAACTAGTTGTCAATGAGAGAGTATTTAAAAAAATACCATTTGTTCCCGAAATCAAACTAGATGTAGCTACAGTACGTTTTTGATTTCTCCATGACAACTCTTCCGGTTTTCTTTCATGTTTAAAAGTAAATTAGTTTTCAAACTCAATAAAAAACTCATATTCTATTTGTACTTTTTCGTATGTATATCAACACTAAGTTTCGAACTTGACGAATTTCAGTTTTTTATGATAATAATAAAAATAATTTAAAGCTCAATTCAAATAAAACGAAATGCATAAAGTTTGCATTACCTAATGTGAGGCATGTCAATACACTTATAAATGTAAATAGTGAAAAAGTTGAGTTAGTAGAATCGACAAAGTTCCTTGGTATTACACTAGATTCCCGACTGCAATGGGATCCTCATATTGATAGCTTGTCAATTAGACTGAGTTCTGCAGCTTTTGCTGTTAAGAAAATTAGACTCTTGGCAAATGTTGAAACGGCAAGATTGGTATATTTTAGTTATTTTTATAGTATAATGACGTATGGTATATTGTTATGGGATTCTGCGGCTAGCATTCAGGATATTTTTATTTTACAAAAGAGAGCTGTCCGTGCTATATATAATTTACGGTCTAGGGAATCTCTCAGAGAAATATTTAAAGAAATAAATATTCTGACTCTTGCCTCTCAATACATCTATGAGAATATTATGTACACAAGAAAACATTACGATTCCTTCACAAAAAAAAAAGTAGTGTTCATAATCTTAACACAAGAGATAAAGATAAACTTGCCGTTCCAAGCTTCAGACTTCAAAAAACCAGAGGATCATTTCTGGGTAAATGTATTGCTATGTTCAATAAAGTTCCACAAAATGTAATTGACCTACCCATAAATAAATTTAAATTCATGTAAAGAATATACTTATGTATGAGTAAAGGCTATTATAAAGTTGATGATTATTTTAAGGATCGCAATGCATGGAATTAATAGCCTTCGCTTTGTTCTTTAAAGACTAATTATATGTTCAACCTATGTCCTACAGACTTTGAAAGTTGTATTTACTATTGTGATAAATTGATAATACATATTATTTTGGTAATGACATGATTTATGTAAATGTCATTTCATAACTTATGATAAAAAGATGGTAAGTTTCTTTCGCTTGTTCTTCTTGTCAGCTAAAAGACGTCCTGAACAAGTGGTAGGGGAAAAAAGTTTTTTGGACGATTCAAAAGTGCTTGTAATAGCCTACTTGAATAAAGATATTTTCATTTCATTTCATTAATATGTTAGTTAAAAGGAACGGAAATGACTGTCTTTGGTCCATTCGTTTCCTGCAAAAATCAACTTTTGCTAGAGTCGCCATTTAGTGGAGGTGCTTTTTAGTGCTTTCTTTTTTTAATACTTCCTCATTCAATGTTGACACATAAAGGTTCCGTGATGACACTTTAGAGATGCTGAATAGAATCCACAACTCGATTAAGATTTCACCACATGTTCATGTTATTCTTAATTCTCATTTAGTCGTGCCTTTCATAACGAGTGTGTTATTTTTAATTCGACATTTTTATTTATTTATTTTAATTATTTATTTATTCATTAATTCGACATATTCAATATATCCAATTGATGAGTTAAGAGTTAACAAACGCTTGCTTTTTTTTATTTGTTTATATTCCAATGCACCTTATGGTACCTACATAACTAAGACATATTCAAAAATGTAACATGCTTTGCGAACATTTATATTCTTGAATCAAATAATGTATCGTATGTTATGTGTTGTTATTTATTTGCGATGTAAGAAATGTAATTAATTAATTCAATATAAGTATTGTGAATGTGCCAATAAGTACAGCTTGAGGGAAAGCTTATCTCAAAAGCGACTTATTAAAGAAAATGCTAATAAAGTCGGGTGGAGATTTTTCTGTAGGTTATTCGTTTATAGGCGCCCGAAGTCGATTCTATTTTATTTTTTAAGTTTTTTATTTCACGGTTTTTAGTGTTATTGATATTTAAAAAGAAATTAAACAAAATTTTTCGAAATTAAACGCACTCAAGCGTTAGTTAGATCTCGGGAATATCCTGAAAATCGATCACGTTTTATACTACAATATGGTTTTGTCTTTGACCTTTTAGTTTTTTGGTGTTCAGAAATTCTACGGCGTTCACGAGTTCTATCTATCTATACTCCATTCATTATAACATTAGAAAAAAGAGGGTCATAGAAGCGGCAGTGCAGAACCTTTTTATTTTCAAGATAAATTTAAAAAATATTGTTAGTTTATTTGAAACTTTGAATGTTAGGTAGTCTGAAAGAGCTGGGCAATTTTCCATTTTTAACGATACCTCGGGGTTGAAATGAGGCCAGCATTTTATAAATTCATCTTTTACTCCTAAGCCAACATGGAACTAAAACTGAAACTATCTGTCTGTTGTTTTGATAAATTCTAATTGTAAATGTAATTAGTTAGTCAAAGGTTGAGTATAGGGGCTTAGAGCGAAATTTTTGTAGGCCACTCGGGCCTGGTCCATATTTAACAAAACTTTACAACAAAAATAAAACAATAACAACTTAATCATAGAAAACGGAAAAACAACAAGAAAGGCAGTAGCATTCACAATAGATGACAATCCCAGATTACGATTTTAACAATCATGAATAAATAATAGTCTGACAAAATTAAAAAGCTGTACTGCCGAAACGTTTTAAATTTGATAGAGTTATAGTGACATGAGAATCGTGCGAAACTATCCAACTCTGCTTCTTTAGGTTCTTTATGATGAACACGTTTTATTGTAATAGTTATTAAATCATTTAAATTAGTTTAATAGATAGCTTAAATGACAACATTTAAGTATAGCACCTGGTATTTAAGTGCATATGTAGCAAATTAGCCGTCAGTTTTAAGAGTAACATGATTATTGATATTGAATTGAATGCTATCATGAATAGAGTATAGTGATATGTGATGATGGCGCTGCAAAATGAATATTCAATTAAAAATTACTTCTTTTATTTTTATCAAGATAGCAATTTGCCCTTTTTTTTATCATTCACCAAATCGGCCCCATTTGAATCATAATTTATCACATAGTTGGCAACACTGTAAAGAGCACAGAGAACACGAGAAAAGTCAATATTCACATAAAAAAAAATAAAAACCGTCAATAGCCCTGTGTAGTTTGTACCGTCATTCAATAAAAATGCATCAAAAACAAAATATTATCTCGCAATGGAGACATCATAAAAGAAAATTATTTATGTAAGTATAGTCTTTCTTTTTTCAATAATAATAAACATTTCAAATGGTCACACTGAATTCCTGTCATATAAGGGAAATACCGGAACCCGTGACACATTGTTTTTATTCAAACAACTCTATTGTTTTGTCATTGTCTACTTATTTCCAAGTATCGTGTAAATCTAAGTTATATATTCAGCCATCTATTCCAGTGTTATTTATAATTTAAATCTAACAAAATTTTCCGTCTGTAATTTAGGCGATCAACATTATTCCTTTTTAAGTCTTTTCCATCAATGTTTTTTTTTATTTTTGTGGTAGTGGCATACTATTTATTGTTTTACGACTCTTCAGAGCAGAATTCCAGGTAATTTTCGTTCTATAATTGAAAAATTTTAATGGTTTTTGTTTTTACAGAAGTTTTATTTTGTATAAAAAAATGAAGTTTTAAAACAGTGTAATTGTTGTTTTTTATAAAGCTGAACTATTAGTAAATTAAAAATGTCTGAGATTTGTGTTCGTACTCTTAGCCTAGTAAAATAAAGTTTAAAACTATTAAAAGTAGTGAATGATATGCTTGAATAATCAACACAAATATATTTTGTGTTATTAGCGTCGTATAATGCTTATAAGATAAATATATTTGTTTGTATAAGTCTAATTGTTTTCACTAAGCCATTTTGTGTGATGCAGCGCTTAGTTGACCATGCTTACACAGTACACCAAAAAATTTAATTATATAAGTTGTAGTTGAAGTTCATTGTGAAGTGAAGTATATTAAGTAAATTTACAGTTCAGATTTATAAGTTTATTTGATGTTAATAGTGTTACAGTTAGATTGGTACTTAATTAATAACATATATTTACACATTTATATTTATTTAATTAAGATTTAATTTTTTTTTATGTATGGTTATCTTTCTAGGTTTAGCATATGAGCTCTATATGAGCATCCCTATGAGTGAGTAATATTCATTATTTTGTTTGCAATTGTAAACTAATTACTATTAGTGTTGATGAAGTGACAATTAAAACTATTAAAAACAAATAAAACTAAAAAGTTTTACTTACTTATTAAAAAGGAGGTTTAACATAGAAAATAACTTTACTCTTCCAAAATGGAATTTCAAATATAAAAAGGTACACATAAAATAAAAGATTTCATTAAAAAAATTTGCTTAACAGTTACTTCATTTACAACTTCATTAGAATTCTTTAGAAATCAAGTGTTTGGTACATGATAAATAATTAATATCAAGTTATGAAAGCAAAAAAAAATTAACTGAAAACAATTATCTCTGAATATTCTTAGACTTGGTTCCAGCTTTTTTCCTTACAAGTTGTTTATAATATTTATGGAATTGAACGTAAAAAAGTGACAGAATTGGCTAATGTTAAAAAAGTATGAAAAAACATAGACAGTTACCACGGAAAAACACTGTATACTTAGACTGTATAATGATATGCCATATTGATTGATAAATATTTTAAATTAAAATATTATATCAGAAATTATCAAGAATGAAAATTGCTTAGGTGGTAC